GTGTGAAAGAAACAAGAATATGCTGAAGACTGGTTGCAGTATATGTGAGGTCTAATTGGTTTAAAATGAAGTGGTGGGAATTCCCTGGTGGTCCAGTGGTTAGGACTCCACTGTTTCACTGCAGAGGGTGGGGGTTCAATCCCTGATCGAGGAGCTAAAATCCTGCAAGCCACGTGGCGTGGGCAAAAAATTAAAAAAATTTTTTTAATCAAATGGAGTGGTATTTTCTACTTTTTCAGTAACTGAATGATTTAAAAAATATATATTCAGTTCTATATTTCCCACATGTAGATTATGGTCAGATCATTTTCTCTTCCTCAATTTTGTTTCCAAACTAAAATTTTAGACTTCAATGCCGTTCACCCAGCTTTGTTCAACAAAATTTTGCTTAAAGAACAGGTACTATTTAGGGTGTTTGTTTTATTTTCCTTAAGAAGCTATTTTGTACAAGGAAGAAGGTTTATACAACCCTTTCAATGAGAATTATGAAGTTTGGGAGCCAGGTTAACACTTATTTTTCCCTCGGGCAATAACAGTTAATAAATCCACAAGTCTCCATTAGGATCATTTGGCTTATAGAATGACAGAAGTCGAACGTTTCTCCTCTCACTGCCAAAGGTTTTGAGCCTTAATATTTAATCCTCCAGTGTTGAAGAAGGAAGGTAGAGAAATTCTGGTGAGAAGATTAGAGTAGGGAGCTGCTCCAGATTTGTGAGTTCCGTTTTAATTTCCCTTGGAAACCTCACGTGGGTGGAGGCCAGCGCCTGGATGTGTGGGGCGGCACCGCAGCCCTGCCCATCAAGGGACCCGTCCGGGGTCTGTAAGCCCCTTTCCCCGCCCACCCATCATCTGGCCGCGCATGCGCTGAGCCGGCGGGCCGGAGAGTTGTCGGCTGGGAAATGGCGGCCGCGGGCTTGGTCGCTGTGGCTACTGCTGCAGAGTACTCTGGCCCAGTAGCGTCGGGAGGTAACCTCTCCGTTGTTAACTGCGGCCCGAACTCCGGGGCAGGCCCAGGTCCTGGCCCGGGCTCATGGAGCCGCTCCCTCGACCGAGCGCTGGAGGAGGCGGCGGTAACCGGGGTGCTGAGCCTGAGCGGCCGGAAACTGAGGGAGTTTCCCCGGGGAGCGGCCAACCACGACCTGACGGACACCACCCGGGCTGGTGAGTGGGGTGGGGGGTATCCCTGCCAACAGGAGGCCCGGGGCGCGGTCGGAGGCCGCCGCAGCCGATGCGGAGAATCGCGGGTCGTTACGTTAACTGGTCCCATTACTCCTGGTCTGGACCCAGGTACCGGGGAGAAGCCGACTGCCCGAACCCACCCAGCCCTGGGGCCTGCGGGCCAGACCCCGAGCCAGGGGCGAGGCGGACAGCAGCATCTCTTGAGAAAGAGGGCCATAGGGGACTGATGGGGAGTGTTTTACTCTTAGAAAATTAATTTGTGCCGCTGCTGAGGTAGACCCTTGCTCCGCCCCGGTTTTGGCAGGCCCTTTCGTATTGGGGATGCCAAATTGACTTTACTAAGATTTAGGTTTGTAGCGCGCTCTTAATCGGAGTCGCATTGGTCGCTGCATTGTCAGGAAAGCATGACTCCCGCACAGGCGTTTTTATCAAGAGTTGTTGTTTTTACTGTGAACCCTAACGCTTTAACTTTTCGTTCTCCCCTTCGTCTAGGTGACTTTCCAAATATACTTGCAAAAATAACGAGAGCCCACCTTCAGACTCTCACTCCTTTCCTCTTTCCTCAGGCCCCCTCAAAAAATGTTGAAGGAAAGAAACTGTTTAGAAAAGATGCATAGGTTGCCTACCGTATCTGTATTTAATTCTTTTTAAAAACAAACATCAGTTTGCCTTATACATATTTTTTTAACACAGAAAAGAAAATAAATTAGGTAGTATTTGGTTTTCTTAGTTGTAGAGAACAATGTCTGGTTACTGAGGTGTTCAACATAATATGTTTCTCTTGTCTTTAAAATATAGCTTTCTCAGGGAATAGATTAAAAACAGTCAATCCCCTTATATATAGTGTGGTATGATGTCATTATTTTCATATACCTTTCCTAAGGTGTTAACTTCTATGTTTGTGCACTCATTAAAGATTGCTAAGTATTACATATGATTCACTCATTTTAGAAAGATAAGCAAAACTGTTACACTACTTCAAGAAACTATTCTTTCCAAAGAAACTTTTGCTCTAGTGTAAAATGGAAGGAATCAAATACCTATTTGTTTAATCTCTTTTTGGAAACAGTTGTACTGAATATAGTTTGTATTTTTTAGTGAACGACATTAAGATTAAATTTTCTTGCTGATGTAAATATGAGCAGCCACTTGCCTTTTGCATATATTCTGAGAGACAACATCTAAAATTGTCATTCATACCCCGGATTTCGCGATTCTGTTCAGGAGATGGCTGTATGGCATATGACTGTTCAGGAGATGGATAGCACAGTGATTTCATATGGGCATGAGTCATTTCAGTATTAGTACATTAAACGTGGAGGTAAAGAATACGTTGATTACAGGAGTTTATCTAGCTTACTATCTTACCTGCTTTTAAATAGTTCTAGGACCAGTGTGTTTTGCCTTTGAGAAATATTTTTTTAACTAACAAAACCCAAAGGCATTTATGAAGAATAATAAGTAATCTCAATGAATTTTTCCCTTACTATGCCCTGAATTTTTAATTTGTTATTATCCACACTTACTTTTCTTACTTTAATAGTTTCTTTATGAACCAAATTTTTTGTTGGTCGACATTTTATCTGGCCAGAAAAAGTGTAGAGGGGAAGAAAAAGATTACAAGGTACTTTATAACCTATTAGACTAGATTCATTTCTAACATGTTAGAAATATCACTTATTAAGTGTAAGAAATTTTTGGCAGACCTTGGTGAGTACAAAAATACTGAAATATTCTCTGAATTATTTTAAAGAGGTGATTTGATGTGGATAACATCATTGATTGAGTTTTCACTCTTTACTATTCATTGGTAGGTGTTTAAAATACATTGCCTTGTTAAATGCGTAACAACCAATGGATTAAATATTATTATCCCTCATTTACACATGAGGAATCACTCAGAATTTACAGATGAGTCACTCAGAGAGAATCGTATAAATAATATTAGTGGTAGAATTTCAGCCCAGTTCCATCTTACTCTTTTCTCTCCACTATGCCACACAGCCTCTTTACGTACAGATAGATATTACCATTCCTGTTTTTACAGATAGTGAAACCAAGGTTGGGAGAGAAAGATAATTTGCTCAAAGACCTGTAGCTAAAGGCCAAGGAAGGTGTTGTTAGCCAGGATTTGAGCCTAACTGAAATCCTGTTTGAGGTAACTCCAAAACCATAGACTACCTGTTACACAGGGTACTTTGAATTCAGACCCAACTTTTGTTAGCTAAAATGTTTTGTTTGGGCCCTATAGAAAATTTAAAGCCAAAAAAATTATTTGAATGTTATATTAAACTTGCCACACAGTCTGTTCTTTCCTAATATATAGAATGTATCTGGTAGAGCTGCTGTCCTTACATTTTAAGAAACAGCACATATTACCCATACCATTTATAACTTGACATGATTAGAATTCATCATGCAACATTTTTTTGAGGTTTTTCCCTCCTGTTTGTTTTAAAAGGTAGATAGATCTTTAGAAAAAGGGAAATATTTATTTGGGAATGAGTTACTTGATCCAGTGAACAAAGAAAATCTTAAAAGAAATCATGAAAGACTTTTGGGATCAGAAAGGTTGTAGCTTGGATTTGGGGAGGCAGAAATGAGAAGGAAGGCCATTCCAGGCAGTGGAATGGATCTCACCCCGACACAAGGGTGTGCACATAATTCAGGGTTAGCCAGTCAATGTAGTCCATCCCTCTGGCAACAGTGATGGTTCAGAGATAGGCACATTTTCCTGTCAGCACACGAGAGTGTTAATTTTTTATTGGAACTATTGAGAAAGAGGCATGCTTTGAACTCTGGGGTTGCTGAGAGAATAGAATGTGAACCTGGAGCTTGCCAATAAATTGAAAGCAGAGCCAAAAGATGGAAAGAATGAGGCCAAGTTCTGATGGTAACCTTTGAACTTTTGGATCAATAGCCAGGCCTTAAGTTAGCAGTATCCTTGGACTTTCAAATTATGCAAGCTAATAAATTCCTTTTATTGCTTATTCTGAGTAGACTTTTTGAAACAAAATAGGAGTCCTGACTAATACAGTGAGACTGCTCTTGATGAAGTTGTGGGGAGGTCAGCTTGATCAGAATAAATGGTTGGATTAGAGAATATGAGAGCTACCTTTTGCATTTGAGGCAGCTAGATTGATGATAGGTTTGGAGAGAGGGAGAGTAGTCAAGTCATTCATTCACCAAACATTTATTGACTAAGGGATTTTCAGGTGTAGATATACAAAGAGGACCAAGACACTCCCTGTCCTCAAAGAACTTAAGGGATCTAATGAAATAGAATAAATAGATGTAAAGATTATTTGAATTGTCTAATAATAGCAAAACTTTATGTGTAAGGCATTATGCTAGGTAATGCAGTGGAAACAAAAACAAGAAGAGACTCTAACCTGTAAGCATTAAAAATCTAGTAATTTGTTTGGCCGGCTACAATAACAATCCAGGAATGAAAAACAGAGATCACATTGGAAAATAAAAGTGTACAAATGCTGACTGAATTTATTTTTTTTTAAAGAGACAGAATGCATCAAGTTGACTGAGCTATTAAACCTGTAGGACTAGGAAGGTCGTAATGCTACTGATAATAATAATAGTGAACATTTATTGAGCTGTTAGCATATTCCAGGTATTGTACTAAGCTGTATGTATAAAATGCACATACAACAACCATGAGTTGTAAGTATTAGTTTTTTTTTTTTGTTTTTTTGTTTTTTTTTTTGCTGTATGCAGGCCTCTTACTGTTGTGGCCTCTCCCGTTGCGGAGCACAGGCTCCGGACGCGCAGGCTCAGCGGCCATGGCTCACAGGCCCAGCCGCTCTGCGGCATGTGGGATCTTCCCAGACCGGGGCACGAACCCGTGTCCCCTGCATCAGCAGGCGGACTCTCAACCACTGCGCCACCTGGGAAGCCCTAAGTATTAGTTTTAACCCCATTTTACATATGAAAAAATGGAGACTTGAGATTAATCTGATCAAGGTTACACAGCTAATAAATGACAGAACTGGGATTCAAATTCAGATACATCTGATCCTGAAACTTCTGTTTTTGATAACTAAGCCACTGACAAAGAAGTTTGCTACACAGTTTCTTTAGTTTGCCTGATACCTTTAAGTGTCTGGTAGCACATCTAGTTAATCTTCAGCAGCAAATAGAAATGTAAATCTGGAACTTTTAAGAGTGAAGTTAGAACTATAGCATAAATTTGAGACAGTCATAATGAAGAGTATCTGATTCTTGGAGAAAGAGGGTCACTGACAGCCATGGGGTACACCAGCATTTAAAAAGGCAAGAAGAGGAATCAGCCTGAGAAAAAACCATAAACAGAGTTTTGTAACCAGGCCTGTACTAGAGTTAGGAGAATCCTAAAGCCAAAGGAATCATAGTAACCATCTTAAGTTATTTTGCAGATGAGAAGCAGTCTCAAAGATTAAGACTTTGTTTAAGATTATATGTAGTGAAGTGGTGCTGTTTTACAGAAGGCAAATAGGGTCATAGTCGAAGGTGTAAGAAATCTTTTCTGAATGGAAGATCGAAAACAAGGAACCAAGGATTCAGCTTTGGGAAAAAGCCTGTGGTTGATGGCAGATGGGGAAGACTAAGATCACACAAAAAAAGGAAACAAATTGAGATGTAGTGGGTGAGCCAGGGTAACACAGTCTTATTGAAGCCGTGAGTGTTAAGGCTTTAAAGAATTACAGGGGGTGGGGGTGGGAGTGGGGGCGGGAAAAAAAAGAACTGAGTACTTATTTCCCATGTAAAGAAGAATGAGGAGTGCCTGAAGGCCATTTAATTTTTCAAAAAAGCAATCTGTAACCCACAAAATTATGGTTTTGTTAGTCTTGGAAATATGCACTGGAATGCCAGGTCTTAAGTGGAAATCATATTTTTCTTGGATCCTTATTTATGTATATTTTGTATCAACCACAGTATATGTACTGTGAATTTTTCTAGAACAGTGCTGTCCAATATGGTAGCTACTA